GTAGCATCCAAAACTTGCCATTCTTTCACTTATCAAAGATAACGGTGAAAAGGAGTAACAGAAGAGTTTGACATCATCATCCAAAACAAACTCTATGTCATTTAGTAGAACTTTGAGAATACGAAGTCTACTACTTTTTGTTTTTGGGTAGAGTAATGAGGTCTGCTAATTATTAAAACAGTAAATATGTATTTGACTAATACTTGTTTTAAAATGGAAAAAAGCACAACTCTGCATGTAACTTTTCAAATGAGTGTTTGGGATAACCTCCGCACTATAATGCATATTTACAATTATAATTATATGATATTAATGTTTCTCATGTTATATGAGATAAATTTATTTTTTACATATACATAAGAGTATGTGGGGTTCATATTTTTTTCTCTCTCTTCCCTTCCCTTCACATGGCCCTCGTACATTTTTAAATGTGTGTAGGAGATAAATATCCTACAACATGAGAAACATTAATCTCTACAATTATTTAATGCAAACTTACTCTAATGTGGACATGAAAATCACTGATATAAGTATACTAAAAGGGTTGCTTTTACCACCAAACACGTGAATTAACTGACACCATGTTATTCCAACTTAATCGGTAATCTTAAGTTCAAGTCGATTAATCGATAAACATGTTGATCTGGATAAATATTATACAAATACAAGGCCCAGAATTAAAGCTTTCACAATGAAGCAAAGCCTTAGTCCAAGAAGGCTGCAAGCTCCACAATATTAAAAGCACCATGACAGACAGGAAACTCCACAAACTGCTATAACAGCAAGCTCATGACAGCCATCAAGCTGCACAATATTAATGGCCTTATCTCATCAAGCTCCTCAACATTAAATATGGCAGCTCTAATACTTTTGCACCAAGACAAGCAAACTGCATTTTATCTCAGCCACCCATAAGAACCAATAGAGAGGAACCTTTGACTTCACCATTAAGAAAGGCACCCTCCAAGTTGCACATCTCTCCACTATAAATACATGTATCAACACTAAGGTACATCATTTTCTCCTACATAATTAAACCTGTTTGAACCATATCTGACTCGAGCGTCGAAGTGTCTTGCAGGTACACCCCCCATCGCGTTCCATAGAAGACCCATGGGTTAAAGCTGCTCCAAACTGCAAGATGCTCTGATCCAAGGAGGTTCCAGGCCTTTGTGTAGAGGAAGATCACATGATCGGCCCAGTTGTAAAAATCTATTCCGATCACATGTGAAGCAATTTTTTTTTTAAAAAAAGGATTGGTTTTTAGTGTCGGTTATTTTAGGCAATCATAAAAACAACCACTAAATCATATGTTTTCTCATAGTTTCCTGACTATCACATTACAGTCGTGAGAAGAGGCCATTGGCACATTTAACATATGGAAAGGAAAATATTTATCCTAATTGATTTAAAAATAAACCATTTTGTTAAAATAATGAGAAAAGACGCATATGTTGATATGCACATTTAAGTTATATATGCGATTATGCTCGATTTGGGCTTGCACGGGCTTTTGCACAAGTCATGCATCACCCCATGTTTTGATTTGTAGTGCATGACACATTGCAAGTGTGGATTGACTTTTGCACAATTCATGCATCATTTCATGTGCAATTTGAATGCACACACGTGTCTCATCACATAAGGGAATTAATTTAACAAAATATTTAATTTTTGAATCAACAAGGAAGAATGTTTCCCTTTTAATATTATTATGGTCAAAAGGCCATAAGATGTATGGAGTATTACCGGTTCAATCCAATTGAACTCTAAAAAATCAATTCAATCCAAAAATTTAAGTTGTCGAGTAAAGACCCATTAATATTTTTATATACTTTCCTAACAGGCCCGAGAAAGTGGAGGCGAGGTGAATCGAACTTATGATACCGAAACTCTGAAATCATGTAAAGAATTAATTTAACTCAAAAACTTATATTGTTGAGTGAAGACTCATAAATGATTTTATATACTTATATAAGATGAACAATATTAAAATTTTGGCGGGCAAGTATTTTTTTCAAAATTCGAATTAGTAAACTATTGCAATATCGAGAGGAACATTTTAAAGTCTGTGTCATTCCATCAGGGAAGTATCATATTCTTGTGGAACATGAACAACTCCGCTGAGTCATAACTTGGGGAATTGAAAAGTGCGACAAATTCTAGATGCAAAACTTCAGGGTTGCTCCAAAGTCTTCCTTTAGCCTAATTCCACTTAAAGATAAATAAATAACCTTTTTCTATTTAAGTATTATATCAAAAGCAGCAAGAATCTTTATGAATATAACTGGAAATTTGAGCTCGATCGAGGAATAAGGAAAAGATACATTTTATCGTCTATCTTTATACAATGTATGATGCAAATCGATAGAGGAATAAGGTGCAATCTAGCTTTATATCATTCTTTTTTTCTTTCTCTTTTTTTGGGTGTGGTTATATCATTCTATTCAGCACTGTAAAATGCAACATTCGATGTTTAGATTGTGCGAGGTGAATACAAATGACTCATTCTGATTTTGTATCTTATTAATTTTATAAAGAATATTTTGTAAAATTCTGATTTTTATTCTGTTGTTGAATAAAAATGACTCATATTTAGTTTTTTTTTTAGTTCAAATACAAAACAAAATTTTATCAATAATCAATTTTGTGATATATAATTATATATAATATGGAGTCTTAATGAAAAAAAAGAAGAAATTTTTTTCACTCATTTGATTTTAGGACACATTCCATTTTTTTACTTCAAAAATATTAACAGTACCGTTAGACTTAAATTCTTAAATCAATTTCTCATCATTACTTTTGTACATTACAATGTTTTAAAATTTTCTAAATCAATGAAGAAAAATAATATTATTTTTAATTAATAAAGAGATCATGGTTGTTACTGAAATTTAAATTCATTGAAGAAAATTTGATTATGTGTATTAAAAAAAGGGATTTATAATTCTTCTGTTGCAGCAAACTTACAAATCTTCTGCTACAGACACAATTTACAAATATGGCCAACAAACAATGGAAAAAGAAAGTTTAACACACGTGGGGTCCATTTTTTATTTTTATTTTATGCTAGAATACTGATCTGCTGTTACATAAGGGATATATTACTCTTAAAAAAGGTATATTGTTTAATATATTTTTATTCTATTTTCTAAATTTTTTTGTTATCATTATAGTAAAAATATAAATATTATTTTTTAATTAATTAAAGAAATATAATTTTATTACTTTAAAAATAATTTTTCAAACTTAATAAGGGAAATATTGGTTATATTTTCGTAAATATTTTTTCTCTTTTTATTGTTAATGTTTAAAATTATGGTCCTGGGATTTTATGGTATTGGTGTGTGTCATTAATTTTAGCATTTTGGAAGATTTAAAATTTGAGTAAACACCTTTTTTTGTCCCTGGCAATATCTATGAAATCTTTTTTAGTCCCTGGCAATAAAAAAGGACCAAATTGGTCCCTAACAGTATGTAAAAAGGGCCATGTTAGTGACGGAGGAGTTGACATAAGAACTAACGTGGCCCTTTTTTCATAATTTTAGGGACCAATTTGATCATTTTTTATTGTCAGGGACTAAAAAAGATTTCGTAAATATTGTCAGGGACCAAAAAAGGTGTTTACTCTTAAAAATTTAAAAAAAAAATAATATTTAGAATTAAAAAAATATATTTGACATATTAAAAAATATAATTTTGTGTTATTTTAAATAAAATAATAATAGAGAAAATAGAATATAAAAAATCAATAAATATGTACCAAAATACCGTCATTTTATTTAAAATGACAAAAAAAATTTCTAAACAAATCATCTAACATATTTTCAAGAATGAAATTTTTTTGACGAGATATGGAGAATTTATAAATTTTTTTGACGAGATATGGAGAATATTTATAAAATATTAAAAAGATAATATTACCTTAAACAAGGTTATATTAGAAAATATATACACACACATGGAAACTTAATTAACAAAAATATGGAATCTTAAGCGTTTCTCTTTTTTCGGAACGTATAAGATCTGTGGGATGAAATTCTGGATAGAAATGTCTTTCTATTTTTATTTTTTATTTTTTAATGACTAACACATGAAAATCATTTGACCCCAAGATTAAATGCAATTTCCATTGTTTACATCAAAAGTATTAAGGTAGCATAAGCCTTAACTCTTAAGTCAAATTCTCATCATTAATTTTACTATAAAATAATAATTTAAAATTTTCCAATTTATTCATAAAAATATAATATTATATTTTGATCAAATTCTGAAATGTTTAAACTTTAAAATAAAATAAAATTAATGACAAGGGATATGTAAAGAGATTTATAATAATACCTAGGTGACTCTTATAAGTTATATTAACCTCTTATCATTCAAACAGTATTTAATACTATTTAAAAAAATATATATATATATGTATTCAATGAAAGATATTAAATGCAAAAATCAGTTTCAGAAGTGGGCCATTACTGTTAGGTGACTAACTCCAAAAATCAAAACACTCACAATTACTGCATTTTGTTGTTGATTATTATCTCTCTCTCTTTCTCTTCAATGGAATTGGAATGGATGAACTCTCTCTTTCTCTCAACCATGACCCATCTCCTTCATACGTAGTTATCATCAGCATCTCTATCTCACAAACATCCATGTGTAACACTTCACTTTGATATTTCGTTCGCGAGAAAAATGATTATTTTAAAGGATATAAAGTTGTGTTATTTTAAGTGAGAGAAAGAGATAGATAAAAAAAAAAGAGCGGACAAAAAAATATAAAAATATAGATCCCACCTCTTTATAAAATTAAAAGGGAATATAAATTATGTCATTTAAAAACACAAACACTAACGAAAAAAATGTTCCTTTTACATATAATCTCAACTATGCTACATAACAACATAAGATAAAAAAAAAAAAAACACACGTACAAAAAGAAGCCAAAAACTCTCTCTCTCTCTCTCTCTCTCTCTCACTCACACACACACATAAACACACACACAAAACACACACACCACCACCCACTTATTATTCTATAATCTCATTCTCTCTCAAAGCTCCTACTCCAACAACACAACACCATTCTCTAAACTAATTGTTTTTGTGGTGTTCTGTGTTTTGTTCTTCTTTTGTCTGCATTTGTCCCTCTAGAGTTGAGCCATATCCACAAAATACACTCTTTTTATGACATATATATTAAAAAACCAGCAAAAAGAAGGTGGGGGGAGAAGAAAAGCAATAGGAGTTGTACTGTACAATCACCAAAGCCACTTTTTGTGTCTTAAATTTTGAGTTTTTTCATTGACTTGTGTTTTGAACTGGGGGAGGGTGTTAATTCAATTCAAAAGGGGTCCCCTTTAAAAGGGTTGAAGAAAAATGGCTTCTTTGTAGTTCTGAGAAATCCCATCATGGATCTTGAGTCTGTGATCCACAAGAACACAATTAAGGTAAGGCCATGTGGCACTTGAAGTTGACTGAGTATTGTAGAATAAGAAATATCTTTCAAAAATCTTTTCTTTTTTTATCAATTATATATCATTCATTCCATCATGCTCATTTTTCCTTGCAGGAGGAATCATGGAAGACAGTGTTGACTCTGGCTTATCAGAGTTTGGGAGTTGTCTATGGAGACTTGAGCACTTCCCCACTTTATGTTTACAAAAGCACTTTTGCTGAGGATATTCAGCATTCAGAGACCAATGAAGAAATCTATGGGGTCTTATCTTTTGTGTTCTGGACACTTACACTGATTCCTCTTCTCAAGTATGTGTTCATTGTGCTTAGAGCTGATGACAATGGTGAAGGAGGGACTTTTGCTCTCTACTCCTTGCTATGCCGCCATGCCCGTGTTAGCTTGTTGCCTAACACTCAGGTAGCAGATGAGAACTTAACTGAGTACACTATTGATGGAACAACACCTATCAATAAGAAAAATGTTGGGTGGGGCTTTAAATCATTGTTGGAGAAACATAGGGTGCTGCAAAGGGTGTTGCTTGTTCTGGCTTTGATAGGGACTTGCATGGTTATTGGGGATGGTGTGCTCACACCAGCAATTTCTGGTATTTGGGATTTGTGATACTCTTGTGTAATTTGGTTGCAAGCAATGAACTTGGAATCTTGGTAACTCAGTTTTGTGGTTTTTTTTTGTCATGGTGCAGTTTTTTCTGCTGTGTCAGGCTTGGAGCTTTCAATGTCTAAAGAGCAGCACCGATGTAAGTTTCGTGTCTAAAAACAACTAGTTTTTGTCCACAAAATTCTCTTTTCCTTTCATTTATTCTTCCTTTTCTTCTCCATAAACTTTTCATTCAGTAATAATGATCTAGTTTGTGTTCTAGGGAGGTTAAGCTTTAATTACTATGAGGGTTATTTGCAGCTAAGCATTAGGTCTTTTGGATAATAGGATTCAATTGGAGAAAGCTGTCCTATTTTTTAATACACAAGAAGATTCTTTTATTCTATCATCAAATTTTTTATTGCAGTTTCTATTTCTAGCTCACAATTGCAGATAAAACTATATATTAAGTTATGAATTTGTTTTCCAGAATTCAACTTTGATGATTAGATTTCAAAACGCTTGGTATCTAGAACAAATCTGGGGAATATGTTCTCACAATAATTTAGAAATTTAGAATGGTTCTCATTGATTGTATTTTGTAAGTTGTAAGCATTTCAGTAGGACTTTTGGCCCCTCAGTGGTATGTATGCTGTAAAGATATTAATATTAAAAGTATTTTTTTTTTTTTTTGAAATATTCCAATCGGTTCATTGCTTCGCAACTAATCCGATTCGGAGCGGGTCTAGGATTAAGGCTTTAAACCCCTCCTAAAGGTGGTACTGGGGATATTCGAACACATGCTCTCACCCCCACCTGCTTAGCTTTCATGCGTCAACTGAGCTATCACCATTTGGTAATAGTAAAAGTATTCTAGTTGGGTATCCAAATATATTTGCTTTTGAACTATCTGAAGCCTTGCTTTTCATGCATGCTATTGAAAGTCGTTTAAGTTAGTGGACTAAATGGTAAAACCAAATGACTGCATTTGTTTGCACAATTGTGGGTCCTCATAAACATAATCTGGTCAAATTTCCTTGCTTTGATCAAAGTCAAGTCACTTTCATGCCAGAACTTGTATTTGAATACGTAATTGATACTAATTTTTTTAGAATAAAAAAAAAAAAGCACGTATGAAATGTGTGGCTAAGATGTAAAGCTTAACGCCATTAATCAGAAGATCAAGTATAAAAAAGTAGTTCCATAAAGTTAAGCTTTCATTAGGTTATGATATAAAGCATGGTGGTATGGATGAGACTTTAATAAATCCCTGTGGATGAATCTAGAGCAGTTCTGATTATCTGATTGGATACAAAATTAGGTATGGCCACTATTGGACATGTCATGAATAGTGCTTGCAATTCCACTATGATTCATAAATAATTATTATCTATGGTACCTCAACTAAAACTTGACCTAATTCTGTCAACTTCGTAAATGGCAGCTGCTGAAATATACTATAATGAAGCCACTCTAATGATACTTTTATATATTGACCTAACTTTGACCTTGGATAATTTGACATCTGTACAACTCTTTTGTTTAATAGAAAGTCATTTGAATCACTAATAATAACAACTTCAAAGATAAATCTTTTTTATTACTGAATACTTCTTCCATTGTCCTTGTAATTCTCATTAAATGTTTATTGGTTTCTCTTACAAGTAGTCCTTTTGCTAGAGGTTAATAAATAACACTTGTCTACTTTAAATATTTGATCTCCCACCTTCAAATTTTACAAATTGCTAGCAATATGTTCTGAAGTTCTCACTTGATGATTTATGGACCAGGAAAATTACCAATTACAAGTTAATATGCTTATGATATAATTATCAGTCTTTGCTCTAAGCATTCAAACAATAATTGTAATTTGATGGTTAATGTTCGTCTTTATTCTAGTATATGTTCTTCAACAAACTTTAAAATTAGAAAACTTTCATTTGTTGTACTTTGCCTTTTACTCCCACTATTACATTGGAGCTAATTGGTTATGCAGATGTTGAGGTTCCAGTTGCTTGTGTAATACTGGTGTTTTTGTTTGCGCTTCAACATTATGGCACCCACCGCGTGGGATGTCTTTTTGCTCCTGTTGTGTTGACCTGGCTACTATGCATCAGTGCTATTGGTGTTTATAATATCTTCCATTGGAATCCACATGTTTATCAAGCTCTCTCCCCATACTACATGTTCAAATTTCTGAAAAAGACCCAAAAGAGAGGGTGGATGTCCTTGGGTGGGATTCTATTGTGTATAACAGGTATGGAGAAAGTGTAGCAAATTGTGTTCTAAAGTGCTGTATGCTTGACATATGCTTCATATTTCTCTGATATTATCATCTTTATGTTCCAGGTTCAGAAGCTATGTTTGCTGATTTAGGACACTTTTCACAATTGTCAATTAAGGTACACATAAAGCCTTTTTTGTGGAACTTTGAATTCAAAATTACGAGGGAATGTTGGATGGAAAATGATGAATTGTCTAAAGCATAAGAAATTGCTAAAGTGAGTTTTATATGCATAGGTTCAATCACACACACACACACACAGAGAATGTGTGCATCTGATGCATTCGTTACTGAAGAAATACATATCAGCACCATTATGTCTATGATTTTTACTTGTACTGTTTTACACTTTTATTAGCTAAATTAATCAATGTGAAGAACTATGATCATAACTTTTACTTCTTGAAGTTGATTGTACCTTCTCCAAAATGAAACCATACTTTCAATTTGTAGAAATGGAAAATAGCTTTGGTTGTAAGTAATGTCTCACTATCAATTTGATGTTAATGACATCTAATGCTTCAAACGTGAAATAATTATCTATTTGTTCGAGAATAATTTTGGTTTACCATTTCACGAGTCAGACTGAGCCAACTTCTTTATGATCAAAAGTTAATACTACACGAGCCAAGATGGAAAATTAGTGCTTGACAGCCAGATGCAATTTCTGTTAAAAAAACTAAAACCGCGTAAGAAGTTAAATCAAACCATAATTGAAAAATGGAAAGTGACATAGAATGGTGGATTTCTCTCTCACACTTGCTACACATCCATCTTGCGTTATGCTGGTATCAATATCAAAACTTAGTATGCTGGAAGCTTATGGTAACCTTTCTACTAGTTATCAAAATCCTTGATTTTATATAGAAGGAAATTCGTCTGCATTATGCACAACTAATTAAATTGCAAAAAATTTTATCATTGAATCCTTTATAATATATCAAGCTTTGGGGGATATTTACTTGATAAGAAGCCCAGGGGGAGTAATCAACTGGTTTAACAAAAGGTTATTTACTTGCAGATTGCTTTCACCTTTTTGGTATATCCTTCTTTAATCCTAGCGTATATGGGACAAGCTGCGTATCTTTCCAAGCATCATTCCCTTGAAAGTGACTATCGAATCGGGTTCTATGTATCTGTGCCTGGTAGGTTGTCTGTGATCTTCTCTACAGGCACATATTCATAAACAGATTAGTGTTTGCTATGCTGTTTGACTGACTTTTCTTTTTCCGCTTTTATAGTAAAACTTCGATGGCCTGTTCTTGCAATAGCCATACTTCAAGCTGTGGTTGGAAGCCAAGCTGTTATCACAGGGACTTTCTCAATAATCAAACAATGTTCTGCTTTGGGATGCTTCCCCAAAGTCAAAATCATTCATACATCATCTAAGATACATGGACAGATTTACATTCCTGAGATCAACTGGAGTTTGATGCTACTTTGCCTGGCTATTACAGTTGGATTCAGAGATACTAAACGCATGGGAAATGCAGCAGGTACTCTTATCTCCATGAAATAATTTCATCATGCATATGAAAATTTAGAGGCACCGAATCATATAGAATCAATATCTCATGACAGTGACTACACTATGTGCTATGGTATTATTCTGCATTTTTGGTGACCAAATATCTTAAGTATTGTTATGGATTTAATCATATCAATTCTGATAATGAAAGAATTTGAAATATTTTTTAAATGAATTTTTGTTTTCTTTCCATAAACAGGTTTGGCTGTCATAACTGTCATGCTGGTGACCACTTGCTTAATGTCTCTAGTTATAGTCTTATGCTGGCACAAAAGCGTCTTGCTAGCTATTTGCTTCATATTGTTCTTTGGCTCCATTGAAGCACTCTACTTCTCTGCATCCCTCATAAAGTTCCTTGAAGGGGCTTGGGTCCCCATTGCCCTATCCCTTATCTTTCTTCTTGTCATGTATGTGTGGCACTATGGAACACTTAAGAAGTATGAGTTTGATGTTGAAAATAAGGTCCCCATCAACTGGCTCCTCAGTTTGGGCCCCACTCTAGGAATTGTCAGGGTTAAGGGAATTGGCCTCATACATACTGAGCTTGTATCTGGGATCCCAGCTATCTTCTCTCACTTTGTTACCAACCTACCAGCTTTCCATCAAGTTGTAATCTTCCTGTGCGTCAAATCTGTCCCAGTGCCACATGTCAGACCTGAAGAAAGGTTCTTAGTTGGTAGAGTTGGTCCGAAGGAATATAGGCTATATAGGTGCATAGCGCGATATGGCTACCGCGATATTCACAAGGATGACATTGAGTTCGAGAAAGATCTTATTTGCAGCGTAGCAGAATTTATCAGGTCAGATACTTCTGAGTATGGCTTAGGATTTGGGAGTTTTGAAGATGATACAAAGATGACAGTTGTTGGGACTTCAGCATCAAACTTAGAGGGTGTGAGGATGTCTGAAGATGATCAAGATAATTCTCAGATGGAAGGCACTTCAGAGTTGATGGAGGTTAAGTCTCCCGAGAGAGTGAAGAAGCGAGTGCGGTTTGTCGTGCCAGACAGTCCACAGATTGATTTGGATGCAAGGGAGGAGTTGCTTGAGCTAATGGAAGCAAAGGAGGCAGGAATGGCATTTATAATGAGTCACTCATATGTGAGAGCAAAAAGAGGATCAAGCTGGATAAAGAAAGTTGTAATCAATTATGGGTATGATTTCTTAAGGAGAAACTCTAGAGGACCAACTTATGCTTTGAGTATACCTCATGTATCTACCTTAGAGGTGGGCATGATCTATCATGTCTGAGTTTTGGCCAGTAGTTTTCTAGTTTAGTTTTGTAACTAGTGATCTTCTTTGTTAGATCAACCTTATACATGTGATAAATGGTGGCATTTTGTACAGTGACCCTCCAAGTTTCCTGACAAGTAAAGTGCTGCCAACCTATGGTTCTTACCTTTTATTTTGTATCTTCTTGGTACATAAATAAACTGTCTGGATATCTTAGCTCTTCTAGTCCTAGCATGAATCTGAAATGTAGATCAAGTTCCAAGTTGTCAACAGATACTGTATGTAGTGACTAGTGAATCTTTTGAATGAAAAATCAAAACAACAGTTTGAGAAATGACTTGATGTGTTTTTTGTATTGTGAACATCAAGCTATGAAGTGTGAACACATCTAAAAGAGTTTTATTCACGTTTTAATATTTCAAATTCTAAAGGAAAATGAGAAGTGCTTTTTTTCAAGAAAAAAAGCAGCTTTTTTTCTTGGGTTTCTCAAAAAATTAACTTTTATCTCTTTCTTATTTTAGAAGTGTTTTTTATAAAAGTTAAAGCTATTTATATTTTTATAAAAATATTTAGTTATTGAAAAAAATATTTGACTTTTGACTTTTGCTTTTCATAAAAGTTAAATTTTTTAACTTCTGAAAAAAGTAAGTTTTTGGCTTTAACTTGCTACAAAGTATGCTTAAGGAAGCCATGTAGTGGTGGACTCCAGGGAATGTTTGTTTCACCTCCTCAAAAAAATAATTTTTATCTCTTCCTTATTTTAAAAGTGTTTTTTACAAAAGTTAAAGTTATTTATATTTTTATAAAAATATTTAGTTTTTGAAAAAAGTATTTGGCTTTTGACTTTTGTTTTTTTTAAAAGTTAAAATTTTTAGCTTTCAAAAAGAGTAGGTTTTTAGCTTTTTTTATGACTTCTGCTTTTTTTTTTAAAAAAAAAAAACAGATATCCAAACGAACTAAAAGTGATAAGTGCTTTTTTTAAGGAAAAAAAAACAGCTTTTGGAGGAAAAAAAAGCTCATCCAAACGGAATGTCCCAAATCCATGTTTCTTAGTTGACAATAAATGAAGCAATGCATACAAGTTATCTAGCACCGATATCGACTCGTGACACGATACGATACGACACTCCGACACTTAATTTTAAAAAATGTTAGATTTCGACAGATTTTGATATTATATAATATTTTTAATTTATGTAGTGTATATTATATTTAATATTCAATAATTTAACAAAAAAAATGAATCTAAACTTATAATATTATAAATTTTGGAAAGATATCACAAATATTTATATTAAACTCAATAAAATATAATTGTAATCCACTAAAACCGCTTTGCCTTTATTAATGCTATTACTCTCCAGATTGCCTTCCTGGTAGGAGTGAAACTGGGCCGGGCCGGCCTACAGGGGCCCACGGCTCGGCCTATATCAGGCCATACTTGACCTAGTATAATTTGTATAATATGCCGGGCTTGGGCAATAGAAAAGCCTGTTTAATAAAAAGGTCGTAGGCCCATTTTCAAAACGTCGGGCCTATAAGCCTATAGGCCGGCCTATATTGTACTATTTATTTTAAATCTAATAAAATAGAATAAGTATGCCTTGAAGAAAAAATAAAAGATATAAATTTAATCAATTGCAATTATTTATAACTTAATTATATTCGATTATATTTTAATAGAAATCTTACTTTATTTCTTATATAGGAGGAATCAACATCTCAACATGTTTGATTGTGTATATGAATATATTAAAAGATTTTTGAAATGTTATACTTACTACAAGCATCATGATGTGGTTGTTGAATTCATGTAGTTATTTTAATTTACATAGTATGGATTTGTTTGTTGGATCTGATGAAATATATATTATTTAGTTTGAGCATTTTGTTTTTGAAAATGAATTAAATGCATATTGTATGAGTTTTGTTATGATTCATGATTCTGTTTAGACGTTGAAATTATGATTTTTGGTTTAGCAACCGAATTTGAGTACTTTGTAAAGTTGATTCATGGTTCTGCATGGAAGTTAAAAATTAACAGGCTAACGGGTCAAGCCAGACCATTTATTTTTTATAAACGAGTCGAGTCAGGCTAACAGTTAGACTCATACTAGGCTTGGGCCAGGTCAAATTGAAATTTTTTGACATAGGCTTAAATTTTTTGGGACAAAGTTTGGTCCAAGCCGGCCCACTTTTACCCTTACTTCCTGGTGTACATGCGCAAGATTATGCGTTTCTGCTCTTGATTACCGCTAATCATTGATGTTGTACCAACCGTTTTAATCACGTTATTATTTTTCATTATTGCACCCTCCGTAACTCCATCCGTTGTACCAACCGTATTAATCACGTTATTATTTTTCATTATTGCACCCCCGTAACTCCATCCGTTGTACCAACTGAATTAATCATGTTATTATTTTTCATTATTGCACCCTCCGTAACTCCCTCCGCTGATTTCGCTAGGGCTGCAAACCTATATATGTATTCTGTGTAAGAGAATACATACATAGACTGTGCGGGTAAGAGAAAGGGATACGAAGATTGTGCGTTTGCGGGTAAGAGAAAGGGATACGAAGAGTGTGGAAGTTTAACGATTGTCGATCTTCATCATGAGCTATTTCCTGGTATCTATGTATTCTGTGCTTTTATTTAATAATCTAAGATGTAACTCCGTTTGATTTGGGACGTGAAATGTGTGGCAGAAAAGGGTTGCAGATTCTAAGCGAAGAGTTCTCGATCGAGCTGTGGCTATAGCTGCTGCTGGTTCAACACTCTTACTGAAACCTTCCTTTCATTATTATTATTATTTATAATCTTTGGTAGACGCTTATTAACCTGGCTTCAAATATAGGAGCATCTGTGACAGCGCGGGTCCCTTTTCCATTACAAGATTCTCAAGTGCTGCATGATTTGCTTCCACGACATTTACCTTATTTCGACCAAGCTGGTCTGTCTTTACTTTGATTTGAATTTGGTGTGTTTGTAGATATGGGTGTGTAGATTTATGTATTACGTTTGGAATTGGAAATTTGTAGGAATACTTGGGCTGTCTTGGTATAGAGTCAGTCCGGTTCCTTCATCCGACATATCTAAGGAAACTTCTGGGGCTGTTGGGTCAAAGTCAAGTGATTATTTTGGCAGACATACTGTTGGACCTGCCGTTGTTAATATTGCAGGTATACATTTAGGGTTCTTTTTTAACCTTAAAAAGTTTTGTGCTTTGATGCCCTTTTAGTTTATTCTGAAGGAGTGAAAGGAGTACAGGATCGGGAACCATCATCAACAAGGATGGTACAATCTTGACATGTGCTCATGTCGTGGCTAGAGGCACCAGAAGATCCAAACGGAAGGTTTGTGTACATGCTAGGTCATATCTTTCCAACATAGACTTGTAACATTAAAGCTTTCTGTGATGCAAATTCGAGATCTTGTACAATATGGGTGTTTCTCAAACATATGTCTCGAGTACATTGATATGGGTGTTACGATTGTTGCTTGCTCTATAGCTTTGGGTGAGACAAAGCTAGGGTGGCTTAGGATATGGTTTGGGTAAGTCAGAACTTTCTAAGTCATGGTTTGAAAATTCATTGGTCCATTCCCAACAAAATAGGGTACTACTAAATTGTTATTCAATTAGTTTTGATTGCCTACACAACTGAATGGAAATGATTCTTTGGCACACTGATAGAACCCAAAGTAAAATTACACAAATTAGAGCTGAAAATGATATCAGTGGCGTGCGTATGGAGAAGTACAAAAAAGAAAATGATATCCGGCATTGGAGGCCATTCTCTCCCCCTTTCGATTTCTGTCTCAGTTATTGTTACCCCTCTTCCATCTCTTCCCTGCTCTTATGTACTCCTTCCTCAGAAGCTGTTATAGCATCATCAACCATCTTTCCAGCCTTACATCTAGTCACCCTTTCATAGGCCTGATTCTCTATGGTTCCCCCTGGCGTACACCCTATTTATGGGTGGGTTCCTATCACATACCTTAGTATTGCACAAGCACAACAGCTCCTTGCAATCATATATGATATTTTATTATTGAGTGTAAAGAGTGACAGACAGGTGAGTTACTCCTTTAGTCGTAGGCTTTGTGCTTAAGCTTACTTGGCAGAATGATTGGTTTAACTTGAATGTGTAATCTTTTATAAATTATCTCCACCTGTATATTATTTTAGTCTATTCATATGCGAGTTTTTGTATAAATAGCATTTTTCCCATTCTCACTATTTTGACTTCATGAAGACATCAGATGTATATATGACAAAGTATGACTATGGACACTCATTTTTGGGTCTTACAACCAATGGTTGATTGTACAGGTTGAAGTCACTTTGCAAGATGGAAGGACATATGAGGGTAAAGTGGTAAATGTTGACATGCATTCATATATTGCTATTCTGAAGATCAATTCTGAAACCCCACTACCAGAAGCAAAACTTGGTTCTTCAAGTACGCTTCGTCCTGGGGATTTGGTGATAGCCATGGGCTGTCCGCATTCTCTTCAGAATACTGTCACTGCGGGCATTGTAAGGTGTGAAGAAAAAATTTCAGACAATAATAGATGGGTCATTGTTTTAAGCTTTTTTCTTTTGTTTTAAACTTTGCCATCTCATATAATAGATTTTGGAAGCTAAAGCTATATGGTTGTTTGGTGCAGTAACTTATTATTTGACCATGAAGCTTATTAAGTTTTAAAAAAGGGACTCCTGGTTTTCTTTTTGACTAATGAAATTTATGTCTTGTTTGATTTTGGCATAGTTGTGTTGACGGGAAAAGTAGTGATTTGGGTTTTAGTGGCACGCCAAGAGAGTATTTACAAACAGATTGTGCAGTCAATGTGGTATATTTTCCTAACTTTCTCCCCATAAGCTCCCAATGTAACCCAACTTGGTTTGCATTTGTTGTACGGACCAAATCTTCACCTGCATGTTTATTCAGTCTGCTTGTGTATTTTTATCTGCTTCTATGGTATAGGGAAATTCTGGAGGACCTCTTGTCAACATAGACGGAGAAGTTATGGCTGCTGATGGGTTGAGTTTTTCTGTACCAATCGACTCTGTGTCTAAAATTGTAGAGCATTTCAAGAAAAGTGGGTATGTTATTGGTTTTATCCTTACTATTTTTATTGCATATGCATTGGAAAATAGGATGTAATTTGTTGTAAAATATTGTCAGCTTGTCATTTGTGTTATGTTACATTCAGAAAAGGATGTTTTACATTCTGAGATGAAAGTTAAATTATGCAAAATATTTTACATTTTTTTCATTTTTAATATATTATACAAATAGTCCATAAAACATTAGTGATTTAAATATTTTTATGTCAAATTCATAC